ATCAGATGATGATGTCTTCAGGTCTGTGATGGATCAGATGATGATGTTTTCAGGTCTGTGAAGGATCAGATGATCCGGTCCTCAGGTCTGTGAAGGATCAGCTGATCCAGTCTCCAGATTTGTGAAGGATCAGATGATCCAGTCCTCAGGTCTGTGAAGGATCAGTTGATCTGGTCCTTAGGTCTGTGAAGGATCAGATAATCCAGTCTCCAGGTCTGTGAAGGATCAGATGATGATGTCTTCAGTTCTGTGAAGGATCAGATGAGGATGTCTTCAGATCTGTGAAGGATCAGATGAGGATGTCTTCAGGTCTGTGAAGGATCAGATGATCTGGTCCTCAGGTCTGTGAAGGATCAGATGATCCAGTCTCCAGGTCTGTAAATGATCTGATGATCCAGTCTCCAGGCCTGTGAAGTATCAAATGATGATGATGTCTTCTGTGATGTATCAGATGATGATGATGTTTTCTGTAATGGATCAGATGATTATGTCTTCAGGTCTGTGAAGGATCAGATGATCTGGTCCTCAGGTCTGTGAAGGATCAGATGATCTGGTCCTCAGGTCTGTGAAGGATCAGATGATCTGGTCCTCAGGTCTGTGAAAGATCAGATGATTATGTCTTCAGGTCTGTGAAGGATCAGATGATCATGTCTTCAGGTCTGTGAAGGATCAAATGATCCAGTCCTCAGGTCTGTGAAGGATCAGATGATCTGATCCTCAAGTCTGTGAAGGATCCAATGAGCTAGTACCCAGGTCTGTGAAGGATCCAAGTATCCGGTCTCCAGGTCTGTGAAGGCTCAGATGATCTGGTCTCCTGATCTGTGAAGGATCTGAAGATCTGGTCTCCAGGTCTGTGAAGGATCAGATGATCTAGTCTCCTGATCTGTGAAGGATCCGAGTATCTGGTCTCCAGGTCTGTGAAGGATCAGATGATCTGGTCTCCTGATCTGTGAAGGATCTGATGATCTGGTCCCCAGGTCTGTGAAGGATCCAAGTATCCGGTCCCCAGGTCTGTGAAGGATCAAATGATCTAGTCTCCTGATCTGTGAAGGATCTGATGATCCGGTCCCCATGTCTGTGAAGGATCCGAGTATCTGGTCCCCAGGTCTGTGAAGGATCAGTTAATCCAGTCTCCAGGTCTGTGAAGGATCAGGTGATCCAGTCCTCAGGTCTGTGAAGGATCAGGTGATCCTGGAGCATCAGGATCCTGGCTCTGTGTTTTGGAGCGCTCCAACAAACAGCTCATTGGATGACGTCAGTCCGGCTCCAGCCAAAAGCTAATCGCCTTTTTTTCATCTTCTTTTGTTTCACTGATGGTTCTGAAGGCTTACAGTTCAGCAAGAAGAGATTTAACGTGGCCTGGCTCGGCTCGGCCCGTTCCCCCCTCACATGTGTGGATTGTTTACGAAGAGGAGGAGGAATTCTGGAGGGATGGTGGCCCGCGAGGGGCTCTGTTGCTATGGTTACCAACCCCTGAGCTCAGTCCCGTTCAGAGGGGAAGAAGCTGAATTCTTTGCAGACTGAAGAGTGCGTTCATGACAGAGAAGCATAACGAGTTAAAAACTGATCTTTTAAATTCATTTGTCATAAGTGGGCAGTAAAATTAAACGTTATTGAAGTCCTTCTGCACGTTGTTTGTTTCAAAAGTCTGTTTAATAAAACGTTCAGCTCAGTTTAGCTAAGATGTGACCTTTGACCTGAAGCAGCGGCAGCCTGATGCTGATCTTGTGGTTCTGATCCAGAAGAACAATTAAAAACAAGCTTAAAGTAATCTCAGTACCAAGTGGAAAGTTTCATGTTCTGAGTCACTTTAACATCAGCTGAAGAAGCTAAAATTGGGTTGTTCACATTGAAAGAAGTGGAACAAAAGCTAAGAGTTAAGGAAGAAAAACTTTAAAAGAAGCAAAACGCTATCTGAAACCAAAAGTAACAAAAGGGGGGCTAATAGTTAAATGTACCAAACAACCAAATGTTAGTTAAAGGTTACAGTAGTCTAGCTGAAAGCTAAAATAGTAAAACATAGATTAAAAACATTTTAAAAAAAAAGACAAAAGGCTAAATAAATGTTAAAACTCACAAAATGCTGGCAAAAAAACTAAAAGAAACAAAGAGCCAGCCAAAAGCTAAAAATAAATAAACACTAGGTAAAGGTCCCAACAGGCTAGCTAAGAATAGCAAGAGGCTAACTAAAAGTTAAAAGTAGCAAAAGGATAACAAAAAGCTAAAAGTTATCAAGCTGTAGGTGTCAAAAGGCTAGCTAAAAGCCAGAAGTAGCAAAACATAAGCAAAAAGGTGCAAACTGCCAGCTAAAAAAATTTAGGAGAAGGTTAAACTAAAAAAAAATCCCAAATGCTAGTTAAAGGTCACAAAAGTCTAGCCAAAAGTAGCAGAACAGTTGCTTTAAAACAGGTCTCTTGAAAATGAGTTCTCATGACTCAGTGAGACGACCTGTATAAATACCAAGTAAAACCCCCAAAAAACAAATACATTTAAGCTAAAAGTATAAACAACAAAATGGATGCAAAAAGTGGAAGGAGATCGCACAGAAAACAAATTTTCTGAAATAAAAGAAGAGGTTTTGATGTGTTTCTGTGGGGATTTTTGTGTAATTAAAGGTAAATAAAGTTACAAACGTTAAGAATCGTAACGCTTCTCGTTTAAAGTGGCCATTTTGATTTATTGTTTCAAACAGAACAAAGTCTGCAGAAGTTGTGAGATTAAGAAAAATGTTTGGAAGAAAACAAGAAAATAATCATTTCGGACAAATCATTGAAATCTTGAAATTAATCAGAACTTCAGTCCATGACGTGGACAGGGGTGAATGTTCTGGGACTGTTGTGATACTCCCCGTGGCTGATCCTGGACCAGAACCAAACACTTCAGCTGTTAGAACCTGAAGGGACGTTTCAGAACTTCTGTGTAAGATTTCAGAGCGCGGCTCTAAAAAGGCTGAATTGTGTGTTTGTTTGGTGTGAAGCAGCGACTCATCATTACATGTCCATGTGATCTTAGATACTGTGTATAAGTACACACATTGTGTATTCTCTTGTACTCTGCAGGTGGTGTGATATTAATACTTCAGTGTGTTTAGTCAACGATAACACTCGGTTGAATTTAATTGAATTTAAATCCACTCTAAATGCTGTTTGAATTTGAGACGTTATTGTTCTAATCCTTGTTTTTGTTCTTGTCTTGCAGACGACGTTAACAGAGGTGCAATTTGGACCAATGAAGTTATTTAAAGATCCACTTCAGGTACTGTTACCCACACAAAACACCCAAACACCATAAGGGGAGATGCACCTGAATGCCTCAATGTCTGGAAGTTCTGAACAGAACTACAGAAGTGTTCGCATCAGAGCTACGGAAGATGATCAGTGCCATAGGGATTGTTTTTGCTGACTTCATTCTTAGAATCCCCAAATTCTTGGAATAAAGTCAGAATTCTGAAGAAAAAACAGTTTGAATTCTGACTTAAATATCAGAGTTCTGACTTTAATTTTAGAATTCTGTTTTTTTTTTTTTTTTTTTTTTCACTATGGCCCTATCCTATTCTATAACTCACAGCTGAACACTCAGTATTTAGTTGTATTTTTTCTAGTTTTGAATCTAAATAATGTTTTGTTTGCTGTCAGAACCTTTAACTGAAAAATCCAGAGGGGAGAGTGTTATGGTGTAAATGTTCAGAGATCAGGAGCGCTCCAACTGTTAATGGGCGATTGTATGTGCGGACGGGTTGCCACGGCAACAAGGCCAAATATTTTAAACACCGAGAACATACCATAATGAACAATGCACGTCAAAGGAAGAACGGCACGGAGGGTCAGTCGTTTGGACTCCTCAGACCGGGTCGGGTTGGTTCCTTTTCTGCTGAAGCTGTTCTGGAAAAAGTATGAAAAATCAACTTTTTATGGAGTTTAGAGTCTCGGTTCCCTTCGGTTTTAGATCCGTTTCACAGATCAGAAAATTATTTTTTCAGCAGTTTTAGATTTTATTTTACAGCCACTATTAGAAAACAACAAGCCGTGCTATAACTGCTGTTGGGTGGCTGTCTGTTAGCAAAATATGTATGAATCAATGGACACATTTTAATCAAACTTCCAGGAAGTAATCTTCAAAAGTACATCTATATCTGATTACTTGTAACTGTCATCATCTTCACCCACTTCTTTCTTTCTCGGTCGCGGGAGGTTTTTGTCATTTCCAACAAAAGTTTAGAAGTACGTTAGCTTTACTGTGATGTGCAGTGTGAGTTTTAGACTCAGCTCAGCTGGTGTGCTCCGCTCGGTGTGAGTTTTTAGTCTGTTAGCAAAATATCTCAGTATTCAGCGAGCAGATTTCAATGAAACTATCTGTGATTTCTACTGTTAGCTTTTAGCCTTTTGCTGCCTTTAACCATTAGTTAGCATTTTGCTGCTTTAGCTAGGGTTTTGCTACTTTATCTAACCTTTTGTTACGTTTAGCTTTTCGCTAGCCTTTTGCTACTTTAGCTAGTGTTTTGCTACTTTTAGCTTTAGCTAACATTTTGTTACTTTTGGCTGTTTGCTAACATTTCGTTGCTTTAGCTAGTGCTGTGCAAATTTTAACTTTTAGCTAACCTTTTGTTACGTTTGGCTGTTTGCTAACATTTTTCTGCTTTAGCTAGTGTTTTGCTACTTTTAGCCTCATTTAGCTTGTTGGCCAGGATGTTACTTCTTTTTTAATGGAATGGCGTCGTCCATCTGTGGACAACTTCTTGTCCAAGCTCTAAATAAAAAAAACTCTTCAACATAAAAATGCCTAACTGCACATCTGGACACCTCACGGGCCAAGGATGATTCCTTTTAATTTCAAGGTCAAAGGTCAAGGTCACAGGTGACCCATTTGTTAAAACCTACCTGTCCATCCATGAGACAGTCCTCGGCAAGATGTCCAAGGTGGAACTCCACAAATGTTTAGGGCAGACGGTGTCCTCAGACTGTCTCCACATTGGATGTTATTTAATAAGACCCCTTCCACCAAAGAAACCTTTAGTGTTTCTGGGGAATTCTACGACTCTGACCATCAAATGGTTTGGATCAGCTAGGTGAGTTCTCACCTGAGAGCAGCAGGTTCATGTTCTTGAATTGACCTGTTTGTCCACTGACACCACGAAGAACGTCATTATCAGTTACACTGACCTTTGACCTATAGCTGGGTGAAATAGCACAAGGTATGCCGTGGTCATTAGATTTTCCTAAAAGTCATGAAACGGTCAAGTCATTGCTGACTCAGCGTTCTCACGGTTACAGTCTAAGGAGGGAAATGGAAAGAACTGAAGGTTGACTGCAGTCTTCTCTGTCTTTGCAGGTACTTTTAGTTTTTGCCAAAGAGGACAGCCAGAGTAATGGCTTCTGCTGCGCGTGCGACAAGGCCAGCTACAGGTGCAGCGTCGCCCGGACACCTGAGTCCGCTCTGGAGTGCTTCTCAGAGAAGCACCACGACCTCGTCATCATCGACCACCGACACTCCCGGCAGTTTGATGCTGAAGCACTGTGCCGGTAAGTCGTCTCTCTCTGCTCCTCGTTGTGTTTCTGGAGTGACAAAACCTGGCGTTTATCAGCTCGACAGAACCTCATTGACCAGAACCTTCGACTGATTCGAAGCTGAAGCTGGTTTTGTCCGACAACAGAAAGTAAAGTTTGTCTGTCAACACATTCAACTCTTTATCGGCCTCTTATCAAGTTCTTGTTGATGTTTTTCCACTTCTTTATATAATTTCTTAGTTTCAGCATTTGTTCACTTTGTTCCACTGTGAATAAAATGTGGATTTATTAGATTTGTGCTTTTATTTATATTTTACCCTTATTCTTTAATTCAACCCTCGTTTACATTTGCACAAACTCCCGTGACATTTTGTGGGAAATTTGGATACATAGCCGCAAAAAAACCCAAAAAAACTAACAGCTCCAGAGCTCCAAATGTTCAGAAACTTAATTTAAAAGGTTTAACCAAGCCTCTTCAACTCACACAAAGAAACTGAGAACCATCATTAACGTCTGGGGACAGCCTGGAGACCGTCTGAAGACAAACTGGGACAGTCTGGAGACAGCTTGTAGATAGTCTGGGGACAGTCTGGAGGCAGTCTAAAGACAACCTGGGGACAGCCTGAAGAATGCTTGGAGATATTCTTGAGTCAGCTGGGGACAGTTTGAAGACAGTCTGGGGACAGTTTGAAGACAGTCTGGGGACAGTTAGTCACAACAAGCTGAGACATTCACTTAAATTTAAGAAAAATACTAAAATTTTCACTTTGAGTCCCACTGACTAAGACATTTACACAAATCATAGATTCAATGATCCTGTAGTGGACATGAGTGTCTCCAAACGTCCATGTCTAGTTTTACGAGAACTGAAGTCTGGTTTGAGACGCTCGCTTCACCTCTGTCTCCCTGAAACTCAGAGGAGGACTTTGAGCAGCTCTTTGGAGCGTTTCTGAGGAACGTTGATCAGTTTGTCAACGGCCCGGTGGGATCCAGATGAAATGCGGTTCTGATGATCCTGACTGGACCAACCAGAGCGCTACTCGTCCCATCCGGCTGGTTCTGGGCTCCTCAGCTCAACGTGCTGAGCTCTAACTTTAGCTCAAACCAAAGACACATTGACAAACATCCCTTCGCCCGGCCCGGAGCTGGTAACCCCACTCGTTTTGGGCTGAGCTGTGTGTTCAGTGTACTCACGGGCTCTGAGTGGAGAGGGGGGACTAAAGGGTCTTTATGACCTCTTGCTGGGGGGGAAACCGCAGGCGGATGAGCGGCCTGGTACACTGCATTCTTTCAGAGGCCTCGACCCGCTCTGAGCTCCACCGCTGCCTGCCTGGAAGAATCGGAGCGGTTCTGAAGCCCTGAGCTGCCGACTGACTCAATGCTGCCTCTGTTTCCGTTCAGGTCGATCCGAGCGGTCAGCGCCGCAGAAAACACTGTGATAGTCGCCGTGGTGAAAAGGTACAGGCTCACTTTCTTACCTTTACGCAGTGACCGTGTAAAACCCATGAGTCTGCAGCACCATGAGGATCTCTGAACCTTAATTTGACCCAACACTTTGGTTTTAATGTTTCTGTTGAAGGCCAGACAGAGAGGAGGCGTCTGTGATGCCGCTGATCAATGCCGGCTTTAACAGGGTGAGTCTGAGCCGCGTTCATCAACACAAGGCACCTGCAGATGTTACCTGCAGATGTTACCTGCATGTGGCTCACCTGTGATGCTCTGACCCGCAGAGATACGTGGAAAATGCCAACGTGATGGCCTGCTACAATGAGCTGCTGCAGTTGGAGCATGGAGAGGTCCGGGCCCAGTTCAAGCTGAGGTGAGTTCAATCAGCACCGTTCACCAGTTCACCTGTTCATCTGTTCACCTGTTCATCTGTTCAGGATGAAGTATTTGTCTGGAACGGGGTTAATGCGTTCAGTCAGGAAAAAAGGAAAGTCCACCTTCTTTCATTTCTAGGACCACAGAGGTCCAGGATCAGGAGCTGCTGATTACCTGATCCTCATCCATGGGACCATCTCTGATCTGGAGCATCCAGGTGTGCGTTAACACAGTGCCAAGTCGGAAAGACATCAACAGTAAACTCAGAAAGAGGTGATTACAGGTCAAAGGTCATGAGCTGTTCTCTCTAAAAAGGTTTGGAAAGTTTCATCTGAAGGAACCACAAGACGTCTAGACCAGAACCAGAGCAGAGAACAAATGTTTACCCAGAATGCACTGCAGCAAACGGCTCCTCTCAGCCATCAGCACAGTGGTGGTAGGCTGATGGTTTGGGCTCTTGTCAGTCACTGAGTGGACCAGGAACTCCTCTGGAGACCAAGACTCATTGGACTCCTTTTGGAGTCCAATGAGTCCATCTGTCCAACAGCTGAAGCTTGGACCAAACTGGGTCCAACAGGACCATGATCTTAAACACAGCAGCTGATCTACAAACAAATGGGTCAGATAGAACAGAACCAAGGTGTTGCAACGATCCAGTCAAGAGTCCAGAACCTCAACCTGACTGAAATGCTGTGGTGGACTTTCAGAGAGTTGTGCAGAACCCTTGATGATGGAAAGAAGAGTGGACCAGAACTCCTCCAGAACCTTGAGAGAGACTCATGAAGTCCTACAGAGAACCACTGAGGGTTCTGCTGCTGAAGGAGGCTCTGTTGGGTCAGGAGCTGGAACCAGTTTCGGTTTAATAAATAACTTGGTGGAATCTGTTGTTTTTGTTCGCATGAGGTCAGATCCGGATCCTTTTAGAACCTGATGCAAACCAGATCAGGTTTATTACGACTTGAAGGCCCAGAACTGAAAGAAGGTGGACTGTACGTAGGAGCTGGACTCTGTTGTTTGGGTTAACAGGGGTTCTGTTTTCTCTCCACACAGAGCTTGTAATGCCATTTTCACAGCTCTGGAACAAAGCCAAGACGCCATAGAGATCACTTCTGAAAACCAAGTTATTCAGGTGAGTTGTTGGCAGCTCCTTTCTGTTTAAATGTAATGTTTAAAGCTAGTTTGTGACATCATCACATTAGTTACAAGGTTTGATGTCACTCCTGATCGCATCAGTAAAAGTTTGCCTGAACTCATGGCTCATTCTGTAAGAATTATTATTTTTTTGTTTACAGTATGTGAATCCTGCCTATGAGTCCATCATGGGCTACCAACGCGGGGAGCTTTTAGGGAAGGAAATAATAGAAGTGCCTAAAAGTGAGAAGAATAAGCCTGATCTCCTTGAAACCATAAACTCCTGTATACTGAAAGGAAAGGTGAGGTGTGGTTCTGAGCACACACGTAGCTCATCTTCAACCAAATGCCTCATCATGATAAACCTGTGGTTTTTCTGAAAATTAACAAAGATCTACTTAAAAAGCACAATGTCTAGACAACCCGTAGAGGCTAAAAACGCCCTACCTCCTAAACAAACATGTGCAGTCGAGATTTACCGATCCATCTGGATCCAGACAAAAATTAATTTGGGTTCATAAACAGCAGATATGTGTTCCTGTTTTTCTGTTTTTGCGTGGATGTGTGCACGTGTGTGCACGTGTGTGCACGTGCACCCCTGTTCAGCTCTGTTTCATGAGAGAGAAGAGAGGAAGAGCTGCGCTGTAATCTTAACTACACAAAGAGCAAAGGTCAGCTCCAAACAGCGGAACAGCAGGAGGTTCTTTTTAAGCTGTCAGAGCTGTCTGCAGGTGGGGTGGGTGGGTGTGTGTGTGTGGGGGGGGGGGGGGGGCATGAAACGAGCTGGACTCCACCAGAGCCCCCTGACCCTTTAATGCAAGGTGCCACTTTTGCAAATATGGATGTTCACCTGTTGCACAAACATGTCCCTACTGCATTCAGACAGAACCAGGACGATTTCAGCTTTTATTTTAACGTTTTACCGAAGCAATTGGATCATCTGCTAAAAATTGCATAAAGGCTGAGAGCTGAATGAAAGAAGCTGTTGATACTAAAAGAAGCAGAACAATAGCCAAAAGCAAAACGAATCAAAAGGCAAGCTATATGCTAATAGCGGGAAAAAGTTTGGTAAGGGCTAACTATAGCAAAAACTACATAGAAGCTTAAAGTAGAAAATGGTTGAAAAGGTACCAGCTCAAAACTAATTGAATTAAAAAGCTTGCTAAAAGCTAAAAGTATCAAAACTAGTTAAAAAACAAATGGTAGGAAAAGGTTAGCTACAAGCTAAAAGCAGCAATAAGCTGGCTGGAAGGTAAACGTTGGAAAAAGATTAGCTGAAAGCTAACAGTATCAAAAAGCTAGTTTGAAGCTAATAGTTGAAAACTAAGTAAAAGCTCAAAGTAACAAAATGCAAGCTAGAAGCTAATAGTAGAAAATGGTTAGCTAAAAGCTAATAGTATCCAAAGGCTAGCTTTAAGCTAAAAGTTAAAAACTGCTGAGAAAGTTAGTTCTAGGTTAGCTCACATCTATTGCATTAACTGGCTAGCTTAAAGCTAAAAGTAACAAAAGGCTAGTTTGGAGGTAATAGTGCAAAAATGTTAGCTAAAAGTGGCAAAAGGCTAAGTAGAAGCTAAAAGTAGAAAACTGATAAAATATTAGCTCTAACCTAAATGAAATAAAAACAGCTAAAGCTAAATAAATCAGAAGGTCAGCTAAAGGCAAAAAGGAACATAAAAAAAGCTATTTTGCTAAAGCAGATAAAAACAAACATTTTTCTGAAGGAGCTTGAGAGATCTTAATGTGTTTTATGAGGAACATTTTTGTAAATAAGTTGAATATTTTGAAAAGAATAAATGTTATTTAAACTCAACATCACATCACCCCATCTCCTGAATGAGCTGAACATTTTTATGTACTAAGAGCTAAATTATCAGAGTATGCATAAGCAGTTGGATAGTAAAACAATAGCGTACAGAAAAATAGAAACCAGGGAAACAATAAAGAAAGCAGTGCTGAGTCAGCTTTATTCACATTATGAACAATGCTAAATATAATTGTGTCTCTTTGTTGTGCTGCAGGAGTGGCAGGGGATTTATTATGCCAAAAAGAAGAATGGAGACAACGTTCAGCAGAATGTGAAAATCACACCTGTAATCGGACAGGGAGGGTGAGTGAGCTGACCACAACCATTCCACTCATTTTTATTTCCTTATCTGATGAAGTACTGTGTCGTCCACAGAAAAATCAGACACTATGTGTCTATCAACAGGCCTTTAAATGATAATAATAAGGTGGGAGAGCTTTATTTAGCTGAATATTTAAGAATTATTCAAAAGTTCTGGTTTTCCAATTTTAGTTCTCTGTTTTTATCTCTGTTTGAGCAGAGCGATAAATCCTGCGAACGTGTGCAAGCAGAGTCTCAAACAGGTGAGAACAACCACAAAACTTTCTCTCCCAGACTTCTGGCTCTGTTTGATTACATTTATTTCCATATGGTTGGTTTGATGGATGGTTTGAACCAAAAACTAATAAAGGTCCAGAACGTTGGTTGGTTGGTTGGTTGGTTGGTTGGTTGGTTGGTTGGTTGGATGGATGATGGTTGGATGGTGGTTGGATGACAGATGGATGATGGATAGATTAAAGTCAAAAAATCAAAATCATGTGATGGAATTAAATTGTGTACACGGGGTCCCATTTAAATCCAACAAAAGTATGAATTGCAAAGAAAAACAGTAATAAGATCTAAGATATGAACTAAGAAATACACTAAACTAAGAATACACTAGCAGTACAAAAACAATACACTGAACAACAGCAGCACGAACATGAGTCTGCGTGAGCAGATGAATACGAATGAACACAGCAGCATGAAATAAATCAGCAGCATAAGATCAGCAACATGGATAGTCAGCAGCACATGTCAACAATCAAGTGGCATTACAGTGGGTTTTTTTTCACAGTGATTATCCAGATTAGAGATTCATGAGTCTAACAGCTTCAGGGTAGAAGTTGTTCCTCAGTCTAGTGGTTCTACACTTAATGCTCCTCAACCTCCTGCCTGAGGGGAGCGGGGTAAAAAGTGTGTGTGTGCTGGGTGAGTGGGGTCCTTCATGATGCAGGTGGCCCTCTTCCTGCATCTGGTGGTATCGATGTCTGTGATGGTGGTGAGGCTGACTCTAACAGACTTCTGTGCAGCCTTCACTACTCTCTGCAGAGCTTTCCTTTCAGCAGCTGTGCAGCCTCCATGCCACACGTTGATTCTGGAGCACAGGATGCTCTCCACTGCACACCTGTAGATGGTGGTTGGATGATGCTTGGATGGTAGATGGATGGATGGATAATGGATGGCTGGCTGTTGGATGGAAGCTCTTGTTTCAAACTGATATTTTTCGGCATTAAGCAGTTTTTGTAGTCCTTTGGATGGATGGTGGTTGGATGATGGAAGGATGGTGTTGGATGATGGTTGGGTGGTAGATGGATGTATGGATGAAAGATGGATGGTTGTTGGAAGGAAGCACTTGTTTCAAATCGATGTTTTTTGGCATTAAGCATAAGTGATAGTTGGATGACAGATGGATGATGGTTGGTGGATGGATGGATGGTAAATGGATTGATGGATAATGGATGGATGATGGTTGTTAGATGGAAACTCTTGTTCAAACTGATATTTTTTGGCATTAAGCAGTTTTTGTAGTCCCTCAGATGAATGATGGGTGGATGATGGATGAGTGATAGTTGGATGGCAGATGGACAGTTCTAGAATTGTGCTGCTCAAGGTGGCTGCATGTTGGAGTAGCTCTGTTACATTCATTCTGATTTATTGCTTTTGAAAACTTTAATTCCTCTTTTTTTCTGGATGTAAATTGCTGTTTTACGATAATTATTTCCTCTAATGTCGGATGCTGTGCAGCTGGAAGGATTTTTACTGAAACTTTTTTAAATTTTGGACATTTGTTATTATGCGTAACCATGGTTAAAGGGTGTTTTTTTTAACAACCAGGAGCAGCTGATTAACATCTCAAAAGCTCAAATATCTCAACTACAGCCCCAAATCCCAAATGAGTTGAAAAGGAGGCGCTGTGGACAAATTCCCGTCAACCTGGCGGTGATGCTCCAGTACCTGACCACCGAGATCCTGGAGCTGGTGAGAAACTCGGCTTGTGAGGAGCTCTGCAGACTGCTAGGAGGAGTGACCATCACTTAGAAAGAAATTCTGCCTGGCATTCGGGCAATCCTGCTGCCCAGGAGGACCGAGAGGCCTGCTGGATCTGACAGCCAGCTGGATCTGGATGGACGGATAGTATCTGTGGCCAGATTTTTTTGGCGTCACTGCAGGAGATCCTTCCTGCCCCCAGCTATCAGCATCTATAACAACTCTTGAATGAAACCAGGATGATGAGCTATGACACTTAATTTCCCTCTGGGATTAATAAAGTATTTTTGAATTTGAATTGAACTGAATTGGATAATGGTTGGATGATAGATGGATAATGGTTGGATAATGGTTGATGGTGGTTGGATGAATGAATGGTTTGGTGGTTGGATGATGGTTGGATAGTGGTTTGATGATGGTTGTGTGGTGGTTGGATGATGGTTGGGTGGTGGTTGGATGATGGATAGATAATCATTGGATGATAGTTGGATGGTGGTTGGATGATGGTTGGGTGGTGGTTGGATGATGATGATGATGATTGGATGATGGATGATGTTTGAAGTCTGTAAACGTAAAGACAGGCAGGTCCACAGTTCGTTGCAGGAATGCCTGTCGCCCGCCACCCGTTACGACCGCCGTTCAAACTGAGTTCATCCTTTGATGATGAACGGCGGAGTCGCTATTCCATTTGGTCGAAACTTTATTAACACGTTTTAGCTCTCAAATGTGATGAGGAAGACTCTCAGCTACTGCGTCAGATTTTAGTGCAGTACCTGTCAAATAACTGAATTTTATTAAGATCAGTTGGCTGTGGCGGCCATCTTGAATCGGGTGTACTCTAAAAGTTAATGATTTGTAGATGCATGCAGACGGGCGACATTTTCGACAGTGGCCGATTATCAATCTGCAGAAAACTGTTTTATCAGTTTAAACATTAGTCTTCAGTGTGACGTTTTACATTTTGGCATCATTAAATCAACTTTAGCATGAAAACTTTAAAAGTTGTCAACCCAAACTGAACAGCGCGTCGCTTGGCGTCCTGCTCCGCCTTATCGAACTCTGACTGTTTTTTGTGGTTAACCTTGAAAAATCCTTTTGTTGAGTCTGAACGGGCTCCAGTTCTGAGGCTGAATGGAGCGAAGCCGCAGCTGCAGATTTCCAAACGCAGCAGCTTGACTTCAGACATGTAAACACAACTTGGGTCAGATCTCCTCGGTCCTGGCGTCACGACTTCCCTGCTGTTGGAAACTCGACAGGACGTTCCAGCGCTCGAGACACAAACATCTAGAAACGTCTTCAGAGGCAGAAACCGCTGACTGAGCTCAGCCGATTTTAAACGTATCCAAAAGTTCGGTCATGTTCTACGAGTTCTGTTTGACGTCCGTGTGTGGGTCGAACCGATGTTTGAAGGGTTTTGTAGTTTTGAGCTGAAACCTGCGGGACGTCTGGACAGAAGAGACACGTTTCCTGGCCCGACCTGGTTTCTGTTAAAACAAGCTGACAGAATGTTCTGGTCCGAGTGACGCAGTTCAGTAGCTACACAGACTGGCGAGTGTTTACCGGTAGTTGTTAGCAGAATACGTCATGGACGTCTGGACCTATTTTAACTTTGTGAGAGACACAGAAAGAGAAACGTTACATTAAAAATGATGATTTTGTATCTGCTGCAGTTTTTGTGCGTCTGAGTTGACGTTCGGTGTTTCTCCCCCTCAGACATCCAGTCCAGTAGGCACAAAGACCGGAGGAAAGGCTCTCTGGACGTCAGGTCCACCACGTCTCGGGGGAGCGACGGTGAGTAAACTCTGGAAACCGTGAAAGCATGTGTTGATGGGAAACATGAGCGTTGGTTAGGAAGAACAATAAAACTGAACGGCTCATAACCTCGTCTTTTTTTCTGGCAGGGAGCTCTCAGAGAAGACACTCGTCCATGGCCCGGATCCACTCCATGACGATAGAAGCTCCAATCACCAAGGTGGGTCGTCCCTCGCTGCCTCCGCCGTGTGATCGGACTCACGTCCTCTGTCTCATGACAACTCGCTGTTAGAAAAGCAACACAGCTGCCACGAGCGCTCTGTGTACCGCCACCAGGACCCGGTGCCAATAACACGCCACAGTTTAGGCACGAGATAAACGAGTGCATGTTGGACCAGAATGAGCTTCTGTTTGAGCGATCTGTGTCTGGGCCCGGTTAGCCTGAGAGTCTAGAGAGTCGGAAACGCTGAAAGTCCCCGAGGACGAGTCATATGACGCACAGCCGGTCCTCTGCTGGATCATTTGACTCTACAGTCGGTCCCTGAAGGCATCGTCTTCTGGAGAATAAAGCTCTCATACAAGTGTGTGCATGCGCGCGCGCGCGCGCGTGTGTGTGTGTATGTGTGTGTGTGTGTAAAAAAAATTTTGTTTGTTTTTTTGTTCTCATCCTGACTGATCTCTAATAACTAGCAATACTCCGATGTCCCCCGTCGCTGAGGAGTTTGAAGGGAGGCGTTATTCTGTGGAGGAGATCAGGCAGCACAGAGTGAGAGCTCCTGGAAGGAGGAGGGAGGAATTTTACCCACCACCAGGAGCAGTGGTCCTCATAGATCAATCTTTTGCAACCCCAGTTTAAAAAACAGAATGAAAAAGTTTATTCCAGGGTAAAGTCAGAGGTCCGGATCAGAACCAGCTGGAGGAATATTAAGCAGGTCAGTCAGAGGACTGGAGAGAAACAGAGACTGCTAGAAGTAAAGATGGGCACAGGTTCAGCAGTCTGTCTAAAACTAGAGGAACAATTTCACAATAAAGCTCCTGAAAAAATTTTAGAATAAAGTTCCTGAATTATTTTTGGACTAAAGATCCTGAATGAATTTCAGAATAAAGTTTGTGAATAAAGACTTTAATCTCCATCATCTCCAGTTCATAATCTGATCCACAGATTAGAAGAATCTGTAGAAATCTGAGCTCAAAGGACGAGGCCCTTAGGGTCCACTGCAGTAACAAGTCTAGATCTGAACACAGATGAACCCCTGTCTGGTGCAGAATCATGTTTTTGTGATTTTTAGCTGCACATCTTTACTTATACTTAATGTAATTCTAAGAGACGCTGCTTTTTTTAGCCATTATGGTTTTTACTGTCAAGGCTGAATTTCACTGAAGACCCCTGGCTCAGGATAATGGATGTTCTGAGATTTGTGGAGCTTCAACGTTAAAACACTTTAACTTAATTCCATTAGTAAATATGTGGAATGAAAACATGCGTGAGATAAAAACATTTTTGCTGCAGGAGTTGTTTTCCTGTCCGTTTGAATCCACATCACGCTGTTTCCCTGCGGGGCTCAGCTGCATTTGTGACCTTTTTGTCCCTCTTGATGCCTGAACCTTCTGGGGACTGGGCGGTCGTAGTCCGAGTCCAAAGGCCTTCAGTGACCCAGATACAGCGCTGCTGGTTAAATGTCTTGTGCAGGTTTCATTAATGTTCTGAAGTTTGTAAATTACTTTGTTTTTAACTTCAGCTGCAATAAACTTGTTTCTTATTTTCACCTTTCAGGTCATTAACATCATCAACGCAGCACAGGAGAGCAGCCCCATGCCCGTGGCTGAGGCCTTGGACCGGGTCCTGGAGATCCTGAGGACCACGGAGCTCTATTCCCCGCAGCTGGGCACCAAGGATGAAGATCCACACACCAACGACCTTGTGGGGGGGCTGATGACGGTAGGCAGAAGCAGCATTTTGGAGCACAAAGGTCCTTGGGGCCGACGTAACACCCAAACATCCTCCTGCCGCACACAGACCCACTCCTAAATAAGGTGACTGAGGGAAAGGCTGGGATTCATTCAGCCCAACAAGAAGAGGCCAAAGAGTCCAGATTCATGGTTATATTGTTCATGGCGGGGGTGTGGGGGCAGGAAAGACTCAGACGAAGAGCAATGGTGAAGAACCCAAGGAGGAATAGTGCCAAGTTGGCAGTCTTGGCAGCAGACCCAGAGGAAGCGTTAGATTGTCTTTTGTGCTCCTGGAGGCTAAAAAGGAAAGCCCACCCCCACCAGCCCCTCCCTCCATCCTGCACTCACTTCACAGGAACGTTTTCCTCACAGTCTGGAAACATCCTGTCCTCTGTACCTCTTTAAGGCTCAGAGGTGTGGGTCCTTCAGCTGAGAGATTAGTTCTGCGTAAATAAAATCCCCAAAATGGGACGGGGGGTGGGGTTAAATCAGAAAGACCTAAAATAGCTGAGAGTGTACAGAGGCAGCACCACCATCAGATAATGTGTGGGTCAAAGATGAGCCAGGCTGCTCTTCCTTTTGCACTTGTGAGGTAAACATTTCCCCGAACGACACCCGCCCATGCACTCAGGAACACCCAGAGAGTAGTCTGCACCGCAGTGATCCCAGCCTGCTTTCATCGGTGAGAACAGCATCAAGAAGAAGAAATCAGAGCCTAAAAACACTAACCTAGTTGGGTTTTAGTCTCAGCTTGGTTGGTTGAGTTAGTCAGAGGTGTTTCTGTGTTGATATGAGGCTTTTTTTTTTAATTGTCAAAACAACCCAGATTCTGACAATGATGACGCGTTAAAATAAAAACAGAATGCAATAAATACAAGTTTCATACATTTATTACCAATATCCATTGTTGAAACTAAGAAACCACAGTTTTTAGGAAATCAAAGGGTCAACTTTAATTTTATATCAGCGACATGTCTTTTAAAAAAAAAAAAGGTTGTTCAGGAGCAACTAAAGGCTGTTGGAGTCAAACGTTTGGATCAGAACCAGGAGGAACATTTAGTCACCGATGAGGTGAATTATCAGCAGGTCCATCAGAGACTGTTAGAAGTAAAGATGGGCACAGGTTCAGCTCTCTGTCTAAAACTAGAGGAACAATTTCACAATAAAGCTCCTGAATAAAGACTTTAATCTCAGTCATCTCCAGATCATAATCTGATCCACAGATTAGAAGAATCTGTAGAAATCTGAGCTCAAAGAACGAGGACATCGGGGCCACTGCATTAAAACCAGGTTTAGTTCTGTTCATAGATGTGAACATCATCCAGAACCGCTGTCGTATTCTCTGGACCAGAGCTCATTTCAAATGGACTGAGGTCCAGAACTGTTCTAAGGTCAGGCAGGTCCAAATCTGAAATTTTGTTTGGAAACTATGGACACCACATCCTCCGTATTAAAGAGGAGAGGGTCCAGTCTGGTATCTGCTCACTGGTCTAAAGCCTGCCTCTCTTATGGTATGGGGGGTGCATTAGTGCCTCTGGTATGAGCAGCTGACACATCTGGAAAGACTCCGTCAATGCAGGAAAGTATCAACAGGTTTTAGAACATCTGCTCCATCCAGCTGAGAAGATCCAGTCTGAACATTCTTCTGAGGATTTGGACCTGTGTTCAGATAAAATGCACCAAAAGTTCATGTCCCTGGTTCTGATCTTGTTTATACATATATACACATTATATACACTGTGTATATCAGAGAGTCAGAGTCAGAGTTTCTTTATTGTCATTCGCACCTCATGTGGTACATGTGGTGGAGCGAAATTATGTACACAGGGTCCCAGTTACATCCGACAATAAAATGTATAAGAAAAACAGTAATAACATCTAAGATATGAACTAAGAAAAACATCAACTAAATATACACTAAGCACTCATAACATAAAACATTGAACATCAGCACAAACATGAACATGAGTCTGTGAGCAGATGTGCACGCATGAACACATCAACATTGAAACAGATCAGCAGCAACATGAAACAGATCAGCAGCAACATGAAACAGATCAGCAGCAACATGATATGGTTTTTCACAGTGATTATTCTAGTTAGAGATCCATGAGTCTAACAGCCTCAGGGTAGAAGCTGTTCCTCAGTCTAGTGGTTCTACACTTAATGCTCCT